AAGGATTCTTCCTTCATTTCTGTTTTCCAAAACTTCTGCAGATTTTATGCTTGCCCAATTCTAACCTGGAACCATATAGAGAAAGGGGTTTTGGAGTACAGTAATACTGAACAATTTCAATCTAAGAATTAGAATACAAATAGCTTTTGTATTTGTATAGTTTGAGAAATATTTGAATACTATTATTGCTTTTACCTGATTGTAGGAATGGAAATTCTAAAGGCTGAAAGAATAAGGTTAAAAATTGACTATACTGTAACTTACATACTGGCGATAATGTCTTATGTAAACAGACACCTGACACCTTGAGGAAGAAGAGGAAGGAGAAACAATGAAACTGTTGTTTAAACTTAGAATGTACTAGAAGCCATAGGTGGTGAAGCGAATTGTTAAGTGTTGAACAGGGTTGTGCTTTTCTTAAGCACGTAAGAGTAAATTTAATGTAAATAACCTTCAACTCATATTTCTTTCACTTTTATAAAAAATAAGATTTTGATATTTTCGACAACATTATGATGGATTTCAAGTACAACACATCGTTGCTACTTTTTGGAAAAACTGCTAAGATAGTTTGATAAGAAGATACATAAATAGCCAGTGTCAGAAGTGCAAAGCTATTTGTGATGAATTTTATTTGTTGTTATTCAGCACACAGTTAAGTTTGGGGATCATGGAAGATAATGGACAAAAAAATGGCACTGAGGTCAACATTTCTGTATGTATTTATTTTTTCTGCTCATTTGGAAAAACTGAAAAGATTTATTTGTATACCAATGGCTATTTCTGGCTAATACATACTGTGAATAAATTTTGCTTAGTATTTTATAAATTGCATGTTTTCATATGTACTCTATAATGTTATTAACCTCTAGTAGTTTATTATATTGTACTTAGGGAGTACATTTCAGGATTAGTATTTTGAAATATAAATATAGCTCATTAAAAACGGTAAGTTGGAAATTTAACCTTTGTTTTTACAATAGAAGGAAATTGATTTGCAGAATTTCTTAGGTACTTAGTAGTCTTAAAATCTGCATAAATTTTATACAGTTTTAAAACATTGCGAAAATATTTAGTTTCTGATACCACGTAAATCTAATATTCAACCCAAAATAGGTTCAGGGAGCTTAGTCACAGGGTCATTTAAGCAACATGGGCTGTGATTTGTTGACTGGCTTATAAAATTTTTGAATGTAAATATAATGAGACTACATTTGTGAAAGAACTTAGCCACTTTCTTTTTGATTATTTTTATGAAACAGTAATAGTCTGGAAATCAGGTGATTGGCAGTAATTTGGCCTGGGAGAGGAGTTAGGTGGTAAGAGAAAAATGTTGGTAGGACTGAAATGAAATCTTAAACATGAAATTGTTTAAAGTTTGTTTTTAATTATAATGAGAAAATAAAGATTTTAAAGTGGAGAATCTCTTAATTTTATAAATTGGAGAAGTAGATTATAATGTTTTGGTCAGTTTCATGTGTATGGATTAGCTGTGCATTTATGGTTTGTAATAAGTAAAATAGTTATATCTATATTGCATTTTTTTTTAAGATTTATTTTTTTTTTAATTTATTAATACAAGCACTGGGTACAGTCACAAGCGCGGGAGGGTGAGAGAATTCACCAGAGCCAGAGCGGGGAGCAGAGCAGGCAGAAGGACTGAAGTACACTGCTGAGGGGAGCAGCGGGCGGCAGGAGAGGTCTGCTCACCATGTGGGACCCTCCTCCGGTGGCCAGGGAGCAGCCAGGGATCGAACTGGCGCTGCAGAGGCTGCGGGCAGCTCCGCCACCCAGCGCTCAACCGCTGCGCCACCGGGGAGGCCCCTATATTGCATTTTTATCATCTGAGTATTATACTTAATATTTTGTTGCATTTTACATTTGTACTGCTCTCAGGAGAATTGTAATTTAAATTGTGGTTTGTTACAGGGGATCTAAGATAAACTAATCATTTGCATGCATTTTATATTTCAGCTTTGTATTAGAAAGACAACTCTGTTCTTTATACCTCTGTGTCTCCTTTACATCTCATACGTAGCACTTCACTTCTGAACCTTCTGCTCACTAGATGTGTGTGTGTGTTTTTTTCCCCCCAGACCAAGTACTTTTCTCTGACACCATATATATGGGGTGTCCTATAATGTAAATCAGTTCTGATGCTTTCTATCTGAAGATAGTGTCAAATTCCACAGTTACGGGTTCAGTCCCACAAAATTGCCCATACTGCACTTCAATTGCCGATCACAAGTGGTGGGTCCTCAGGTTACCCCACAACTTCTGCCTACAAATATGAAATTTCCATGACCACCTCTATTTGTTAGAGGAGCTCAGAGAGTTCAGAGAAACACTCATGTTTATCAGTTTTTTAAAGGCCATGAGAAAGGAGACAGATGAATAGCTGGATGAAGGAGTACATAGGATAAGGTCTAGGAGGGTCTTAAGCAAGTGTAGAACCAACCTCTGTCTTCCTGGAGGTGGAGTGTGTCACCTTCCTCCTGTAGATGTGTTCACCTGCTTGGAAGCTCTCCGAGCTCCATACTATTAAGATTTTTATGGAGGCTTCATCATGTAGGCATGATTGATTGCTAATTCCAGTTTTGTCCCTTTTCCCTTTTCAAAAGACTGGAAGGCAAGGCTGAAAATTCTAAGCTTCTAATCATTGCTTTTTCTTATCCAGGATCTCACTCAAAGTGGCCTCTTTAGAACAAGAGAGACTTCTATCACCCAGCTAATGATAAATAATAAAAGTCTCAGGAACCCTATGTCAGGGTCAGAGGCCAAAAAATAAAACAAAAGATTCTCCTAGTGTTCTTATTAACTAGGAAATTATAGTGGTTTCAGGAGTCATATGTCAGGAGTTGGGGACAAACACCGATATATATTTTTTTCTATTATACAGACTTAAAAAATACATTGTGTTAAAAACTGTATTATCAAGGTGAACCTTTATATTGGTGTTGTATATACTTCAAAATAGAAAAGCAAAATAGTAAAAATAGCATATCCTTAGAATCTGACCTTTAAATTTTCATTTGAAAAGAAATTAGAACTTGCTACAACAACAGGTACATTATGGCCTATTTGCACAGGATAAACAAAAGACTTCCTTGAACAGATTTGAAATCATTGCTTGGCATTTTCCAGGAGAATCGGATGTCTGTGCCAAATGTAGGTTGCTGGCAACTTGTTCTCATTTCATACAGAGATAAAGGCCACCATGATATACTAAGGAATTTTACACAAGTATATAATGGGAGCTCAAGAAATTGATCTTTAATTATATAACTTGAAATTTTCAATTAGAAATTTTATCACCTTGAACAAGTCATTTAATTTCTCTGTTCACTACTTTCTTTATTATAAAATGAATGGTTATTGGGGCTTTGGTGGTAGGTGTGGTATATAACATTTGTAGTGGTATGAATCTGTACTCCTATACACAGTGTTTTAAATCACCATATCTCAAACATTATTTAAAAAATGAAAAGATTGAGCTAGTGATTCTTAAAACATCTTTTACCTCTAATGCTGTATTTACTTCATATTAGGATTCTTTTGCTACTGCAGATTTACAAAAAGATACTCATATTTTCTCTCTGAAATTTAAGTGAAATTCTTTTTTTTTAAGATTTATTTATTTATACAAGCACTAGGTACAGTCAGAAGCACGGGAGAGTGAGAGAATTCACCAGAGCCAGAGCAGGGAAAAGAACAGGCAGACTGATGAAATACACTGCTGAGGGGAGCAGCGGGTGTGCAGGAGAGGTCTGCGCGCCATGGGGGACCCTCGCCGGCAGCTGGGGATCGAACAGGCACTGCAGAGGCTGCGGGCAGCTTCGCAGCCCAGCGCTCAACCACTGTGCCGCCAGGGGAGGCCCCTCAAGTGAAATTCTTAAGATCTTTTTTCAATCATTTTATATACACATATATCTTACCATTAAAAATTTTATACTTATATTCACGGTGATGCATAGTTTGTGTTTAGGGACATATTCAGTTGAAGGTCGGAATTGCTAAATTTAGTAAGATAGGCTATATGACTTGGAGGATAAACTCTCTCTGTAACATGGTGTATACTAAATGTATACACTTGTTTATATACTATAAACAAGGTTCATGTTAATAAAATTTAGGGTCAAAGATGGAAAGCATAGACTTGGTGTGAAAAAGGTAACAACCCCAATGGTATAACTCCAGAGAAATCAGCTAGAACCAACATTATGAGGAAAGTCTGGTGATGGATGTTACTACTTAGTATATCCTCAATCTTCAGTTTTTATAAATTACCTTTACTGAGTTGTAATTTATATATAATAAAATATACTCAAATGTGCCATTCAGTAAATTATGATAAATACAGTCGTTTAACCACCACACAATCAAGATATAGAATATATCCATCACCACCAAAAATTCCTTGCTATTCTTTTGCAGTCAGCCCCTAACTGCAACCCTTGACAGAAGACAACTAAGAATTTGCATCTGTCACCGCAAATTAGTTTTGCCTTTTCTAGAATTTCATATCAATGGATTATGTAGTCTATACTAATACAACTAAATCTTTTTGCTCAGTATTTGAGATTCATTGATATTTCATTGTGTATCAGTATTACATTTTTTTTTAAAAGGGCCAAAATGGGAGGGAAGAACACAAGGGAATGTGGTGATGGTTTGTGGGTGATATGATAGCAGGAGAACTATGGGAATTACAATGATGTAAGGAAAAAAATACAAATTTAAAAATAAAGTGAGTTTCTTAGAGTTCATACTGAATTAATGTTAGGGGAAATATAGGAACTCTGAATTTTATCACTGGTGATTTTTATTTATTTTTTAATAAATTTTTTTTTAAGATTTATTTATACAAGCACTGGGTACAGTCAGAAGCATGGGAGGGTGAGAGAATTCACCAGAGCCAGAGCAGGGAGCAGAGCAGGCAGAAGGACCGAAGTACACTGCTGAAGGGAGCAGCGGGCGGCAGGAGAGGTCTGCGCGCCATGCGGGACCCTCCTCCGGTGGCTGGGGAGCAGCCGGGAATCGAACCAGCGCTGCAGAGGCTGTGGGCAGCTTCGCAACCCAGCGCTCAACCGCTGCGCCCCCGGGGAGGCCCACACTGGCGAATTTTAATGGCAGCTTCTTTAAAGCTCCTATATGATAAGAGTCTGTTGCCTTGGCAGATCTTAAGTGAGAGTCTTCCTAGTTCTTGGTATGATGAGTATATTAATTTTGGATTAAATCTTAGACATTTTGAGTCTTATGACACCTTGGTTCTAATTAAATCTTCTATGTCAGTAAATAGCCACTGGGGAGAGTGAAAGGATGCTGCCTCTGTTGGTATTCACCTTTTCTAGGGCAGGAATGGTCTACAAAGCTCTGCCACCAAAGTCTTGGTGACTGCAGCCCCTGGTGGTGGGTATAGGGAAAAACTGCCACTTTATTACTAATGCAAGATGGGGATGGTCAGCAAGGCTTTGTTCCAGAGAGTGCACTAAACTCAGTTGGAAGATTGCTGTCTTGCCATTTCTTTGATTTGAGATAGTGGGTTTTTCTTGGGCTTTTGTTTTTTTTTCAATCTGCCCACTGCCTGTTGGTGGTTCCAAGTTGTAAATTTCCGTGCCTTATGTATCTCATAGGGTGAGATACAGAGGAGGTAAAAATTCTTTGCTGTACCATCACTCAAGATCTGGGGACTCTAACCAGTTTCTCTTATTTTCTTCACTATTCAGTCTTCTTGTGGTTGCTCTGTTGCCTTTAGTTCAAGGCTTATCCCTGCAGTTAGGAGGAAGAATAGGGTGGCATGCACTTTATCGTATCTGAAACCACAAGTCTCTTACTGATTTTTAATATATGTCCTGTGTTTCCCAATTTTATTTACACTGTTTTGTTTTTCAGGCAAATGAAGATAAAACAATGTCTGCCAACCTAAAATACCTTTCCTTGGGAATTTTGGTCTTTCAGACCACCAGTTTGGTTCTAACAATGCGTTATTCTAGGACTTTAAAAGAAGAGGGACCTCGTTATCTATCCTCTACAGCAGTGGTTATTGCTGAACTTTTGAAGATAATGGCCTGCATTTTATTAGTCTACAAAGACAGCAGTAGGTATCTAGGTTTTGTTTTTGATTCATTGCAATTTATTTGTTGTTATTCACATATGACAAATATGTAAATATATGATAGTAACTGCACATTTGAACACTTACATGCATATACTGTGCATGATTTCAAACAAGAGCTGTAGGCCAGAGGTGTGGGGGGTGAGAGGATTCACCAGAGACAGAGTGGGGAACAGAACACGCAGATTGACTGAAATACACCGCTGAGGGGAGCAGCGGGCGAGTAAGGAGAGGTCTGCTGCGCCATGTGGGTTGCTCCCTGGCTGGCGGAGGATTGAACTTGTGCTGCAGTGCTGCGGATAGCCTCATAGGCTGCGTTCTAACCCCTTGCACCACCAGAGAGGCCCTCATTTCGACCTGCTTATTGTAGTTCCAGATTGAGGGTGACTAGATCTTATCCCGGTAGCTCAGGGCACATGACAGGTACCAACTTTGGGCAGGATGCCATTCAACTGTAGGGCCCACTAAAACCCACCCACACTCACTCAGACTGGGGGCAACAGACATGTCTTTAAACCTAACATGCACACCTTCGGGTGTGGGAGAAAACCTGCACTGAATGAGAGAACATGCAGGGGAAAATTTGCCAATTCCACATAGATGGTGCTTCTGACTGGAAATTTTTTTTTAATTTCACCAGTCTCAGATTGGCAAAAATAAAAAGTCTGACAATGTCAGGAATTGACAAAGAGCATGAAACAAGATTCCCTAAACAACTAATGAGAAAAATATAGCATTGATTAATTTTCAATTAAATATATTTTAATGAGCTGATATTTGAGGGTTTTTTTTAACTAAAATTAAGAAAAAATATTTTATGTAAATTTTTTACTATTAGGGTAAGGAAAGGATAAATATGAGGTAGCAAGTTTTTAAGTTTTTTTCATTTAAAAAGTTTTCGTAATCAAAGTTTTCCAGTTTTATGTTGGGAGAGAATAAGCATCTTTAGGGCCTCCCAGGTGGCGCAGCGGTTGAGCGCTGGGTTGCGAAGCTGCCCGCGGCCTCTGCGGCGCCGGTTCGATCCCCGGCTGCTCCCCGGCCACCAGAGGAGGGTCCCACATGGCGCGCAGACCTCTCCTGCCGCCCGCTGCTCCCCTCAGCAGTGTACTTCGGTCTTTCTGCCTGCTCTGCTCCCCGCTCTGGCTCTGGTGAATTCTCTCACCCTCCCGTGCTTCTGAATGTACCCAGTGCATGTATAAACAAAACAAACAAACAAATTAAAAAAAAAAAAAAACATCTTTAAAGGGTAATTACTGGTAAGGTAGTAGGCTTGCACAGAATTTCTCCTTCCTCCAGAGGTCTGTGTATTTAAAGTTCTCTTTAACACTTTTGTTAGAGGTTCGTTAACTCAAAATACCATTTTCAGCCCCTTTTTTTCCTCTAAAGTGGAGGTTATATAAAAAACCTCGATTCCCCAGTCATCTGCAGCAAGGGGTGCTATGCAACACAATCCTGGTAATTAAGAGTGGAGAACGTACCTGCTATGGCATTTTTTCCTCTGCTTTCCTGCTACCTAGAATGAGAACCAGTGGGTAACAGTCATTCGGTGACCTTGTTACAATAATAATGTAGACAACAGATGAAAAGCATGAAGGTAAAAAGCCAGTATCTAAAGAGCGAGCTTCATTCCTGATGTACTGTTGTAGCAACTTTGGACCTGAATTCATGATATTTGAGACAACTCTGTGGGGTTGAGTCAGTGTTGGTTGGTTTTCTATTTATAGCCAAACCTACTCCCTTACTGATTTACCTCCTTTTTATGATTAAAACCCTAACAATTAATTGGTATGACTGGTGATAAAATGAGGTGCACAAAATAAAAGTTGTTATAAAGTAAGAATACTGGGTTAACAAATTAATACTTTGAGTTTCTGGTTATTATAAGCACATATATGTGTGCACATGTATATGTAAAGTATGTATATAATCAATTTTATTGTATTTCCCAATGAAAGAATATAAGGATAATGTACTTGTTAATATGCTGCCTTATACTATTTAACGTTTAGCATCATTAGTGTCATTTAGCTACCATTTAGCATCATTAAAGGCATATTTTATTTTTTTTTTTTTTTTTTTTTTTTTTTTTTTTTAAATATTGAATTTTATTTTTATATTCCCCCATACAATTGCAAACGCCCCATTCTGACCCCAATCCTTTCCCTCCCGCCCCCAGCCCCCAAAAGTGTCTCTGGTTCATAGTTTTTTGTTGATTTTGATTTTCACTTTCTTATATTCATTTTCCTGGTCCCTTATTTAAGTTTTCTAGATTCCTGCTATGAGTGAGACCATCCGGTATTTTTCTTTTTCTTTTTGGCTTATTTCGCTGAGCATGATCCCTTCCAGTGCCATCCATGTTGCTGCAAATTGCATGTGTTTATCTTTTTTGAATGCTGAGTAATATTCCATGGTATATATGTACCACATCTTCTTGATCCAGTCATCTATTTTTGGGCATTTGGGCTGTTTCCAAAGCTTAGCTATTGTAAACAGTGCTGCTATAAACATAGGAGTGCAGGTGCTCTTTGGAATTGATGTTTCTGTGTCCTTTGGGTAAATACCTAGGAGTGGAATTGCTGGATCATATGGAAGCTCTATGTTTAGTAGGTCCAGAAATCTCCACACAGCTCTCCATAGTGGTTGGACCAGTTTGCACTCCCACCAACAGTGCACAAGAGTTCCTTTTTCTCCACATCCTCGCCAACATTTGTTGTTGCTAGTTTTTTTAATATGTGCCATTCTCACTGGTGTGAGATGGTATCTCATGGTAGTTTTGATTTGCATTTCCCTGATTACAAGTGATGTTGAACATTTTTTCATATGTCTGTTGGCCATTTGCATTTCCTCTTCAGAGAAGTTTCTTTTTAGCTCTTCTGCCCATTTTTTGACTGGATTATTTTCTTTGTTGTTGCTGAGTCTCATCAGCTCTTTGCAGATTTTTGTGATCAGTCTAAAGGCATATTTTAGACATAAAAGTACCTTAACATGTAGCCCAATATCCTTAAAAGTGAGAAAACTGCAGCCTGAGAGAAGGTATGTAGCTTATTAGTTATTTAATTATTGATTTTTGCCTATTTTCATGTTTTTTTTTCTAGAATGTAGTCTAAGAGCATTGAATCGAATACTACATGATGAAATTCTTAATAAGCCTATGGAAACCCTTAAACTTGCTATTCCTTCAGGAATATATACTCTTCAGAATAATTTACTGTATGTGGCATTGTCAAATCTAGATGCAGCTACTTATCAGGTACTTAAAATACATTTCTGGTAGTCCTTTTAAGAAACAAACATACACTAATACTAACTGTTTTCTTTTTCAGGTCACATATCAGTTGAAAATTCTTACTACAGCATTGTTTTCTGTGTCTATGCTTAGTAAAAAATTAGGTGTGTACCAGTGGCTTTCCCTAGTGATTTTGATGGCAGGAGTTGCTTTTGTACAGGTAATTATTTAAGTATATTTTTCATTTTTATCACAAATTTAAAACCTTATTTGAGTATGGAGACTATGGTTCTATTATTTATTGAAACAAATAAATGCTTAATCTCCCCCAGTGACATATTTTTTGAGAGCTTCCTTTTAGTAGTATACTGCATTGGGATTTAATTGATGTAAGTAAATAAAAATCATATCTTCTGATATAAACCTGATTTTTACTGGATACCTGGAGCATTTGACATTATTTATCATTTCCTTTTTATGTTCTGTCACCTTCCCTGATGCTGTTTTTTCCTGGTCTTTCCCATATCTTGATGATGATTTCTTACTGGTTTCTTAAGCCTTTCTGATAGTGGGGTTACTGGTAGGCTTGTTATTTCTTTTAAATGAGTTCCTTACCTTTGGAGATTTCATCCATTCTGGAAGTTATTATTAACACTATTTGCTGGTGGTTCTTTGGTCTGTCCGTGTCATCAACTCTGCCTATTCCTGTGGTTTCAGATTTGTGTAGCCAAGACTGTTGGACAGCTTTGCTTGGTTGCTCAATAGGTGTATAAACTCATCATTTCCAAAAGTAAACTTTACCTTTTCCTATTAAACCTGTTCTTGTTTCTGTTTTTTTTTTTTCAGTCATTATTTACTCAGCTTGGACAGTTGTCCTAGACTCTTCCTTCTGCTTCCTACATTTAATTACTAAGCCTATCCTGGTTCTGTTTTTTAATACTTTTTTCTGCCCACTTCTATTGTTACTACCACAGTTCATGCCTCCTTTGTTTCTAACATTATCTTTTGCCTCCTGATTTTTTGTTTACTTCAGTCTTACCCATCTCCCCAAATTTTGCTTCCGATTAGTCACCAATGTCATCTATTGAAAAATACATCCTATCATGTCAATCCTGCCAACCTTAGAGACACCCTATGACTTTCTCTAGTGTGTGGTATGTATAACTTGCATAAGTATTTTTGATAGTTACTTATTTATACTAGAAAACCATAAATGTTATGTCAAGCCCTTATTTTCACAGCTGTTGCTTAGGATAAGCTGAAGTAGGTATTAAATTTTAAAAATGAGGTATTTCAAATTAAAATATCAGTTAACTAGGGCCTCCCTGGTGGCCCAGTGGGTTGAGTGCAATACTGTGAAGCTGTCTGCAGCCTCTGCAGTATGGGTTTGATTCCCGGCTGGCCAGGGAGATACCCACATGGTGCGGCAGAACTCCTGTCTCACCTGCTGCTTCCCTCAGCAGTGTTTTCAGTTCGTCTGCCTGTTCTTCTCCCGCTCTGTCTCTGGTGAATTCTCTCACCCTCCCATGCCTTTTGCCTGTACTCCAGTTCTTGGATAAATAAATAAATCTTAGAAAAAAAATCAGTTAACTAGTAGTTCAGACTTGACAAAAACTGTGAAGAAAGTCAAATAACTGTTTTGAGGAACACTGATCTACACAGTTAACGCCAGAGTAGTTGATCATGATATCATATTAATGTTCCATGATGTATTTCTACACTCCAGACTCATTTTTGCTGCTGTACCCTTCTGTACATTCTGAATTTCTACAGCTGAACTGCTTGTAAAGGCTGATAACTGCATCTGTGCATTGATTCATTCTCTTTCTCTCTTTTAGAGTATTTGTGGAAATTATGAGTTGTAAAAGTAATTATCACTGTGGGGAAAAATGATTCTAAGGTTTTCTCTCAGGAATTGCTATTCCCAAGAATGGTATTAGTTTCATTTTTACCTTAAAGGTCTGAAGGTGGGCTCTAAACATGCACTTTGCAAAATATAATAGGAATTTAACTTCAGGGTTTTTTTTCTTTTTTCTTCAGTGGCCCTCAGATTCTCAAGAACTTGATTCTAAGGAACATTCAGCTGGCTCTCAATTTGTAGGCCTCATGGCAGTTCTCACAGCATGTTTTTCAAGTGGCTTTGCTGGGGTTTACTTTGAGAAAATCTTAAAAGAAACCAAACAATCAGTGTGGATAAGAAATATTCAACTTGGTAAGTTTTAAATGTTTTCTAATAATTATTTTTAAAGTGATTCATATTGTTCTATAATTCTTTAATAAATTCTGATCTAACTATCTGGCAAGGTTTTTGCTTTAAAAAATTATGTTTTAAATGAGTACATTTTATTTAATAATATGAAATTTTAGGTTTGTGACATAGTATGTAAGCATTGTTTCTGTCCTCATCATTTGGAGTCTTAGTAACTGGTTGCTACATTTTGGAAGATGTTATAGATAACATATATTTTGCTCCTTGGAGAAGGAGATTAAGATACTAGCAATTTTTTTTTCAATTACATGATACAATCTTACCAACTGTAGTCACCGTGTTATATATCAAATCACCAAGATGTACACTTTAAATGCCTTACAGTTCTGTCACTTATACCTCAATGAAGCTAAAAAGATTAAGATATTTAAATGGAGGAATTTCAAAGCAATGCACCTTTCATCTTTAAAATCTTGATATACTTTTTTATGTTTATGTTGTTTAAGTAATGTATCCTCTTTCTAATTGAAGGTAAAGAGAAAGAAAAAAAGTCCCATACAATGAAGAATTGCCTTTGAAACAAATATTAAACTATTTTTAGGCAATACTGTTATAGAGATTCCAGTATTTACTATTCTTGAATATATATATATATTTTGGAAAATGTGTGAAAAGCAGCTCAATTGCAAATTGACACATTCTATTTTAAGCCTCTGTACTTGTAACTTTGGAGGTCATTTTTATAGTCACTTTTTTTATAGCCATGTCAACTTAAAAGATACAGGTTTTTTCTGCTGCCCGCAAGTAGAATGTTTCTATTTGGTAGGTATTTTTGGGGTCTGGGAACACCATTAGCATCAATTCATATGGAAAAATTTTTGAACATTCCCCGACCCAAAAAATAGCCTAATAAATCAGACCAAACTAGAAACTTCTGCTTCCAGAAAGTGGGTGGGGGCAAGGGAGAAAGTATGGGGCACACCTGTATACCATCTCTCTCTTGATGGGAAAAGACCCTTCAAGGTCTACACAGTGAATTGTCTGTACCCTAATGGCCAGTATTTTTAAAACAAAACATCTCAAACAAACCTTCCACATTTTATAACAATCATCTTTCCAATTGTTTTCAAATAGACTGACCCTCCACTTTATTACTTAGGATTATTTAAGTTTCAGTGCAATATTTGCATAAATGTCATTTTTTTAAACATTCAAGGTAATTATTTTTAAATGCAAATTAGCTTCCTTTTGTTCAGTTTGTCTACAAGGCAAGTTTACAGTCTTGAAAAATATTAACCAACTTAATTCACCATAATTTCAGAAAGAGTGTGCCTGTGGTACAGTGTTAAGAACACCTAGCTTTATAGTCAAACTGTTCAAAATCTGACTCCATCACTATCTCCTGTGTGGGTTTAGGGAAGTTACTTAATATGTTCGTAGCTATAGTAATTATTTCATGTTACTATGAGGTTTAAATGAGAAATATTTAAAAATTGTTAAATATTTAGAATATAGTATCTTGCATATAGTAAGTACTAATATGAGCTATTTATAAAAACATGAAAATATTAGAAAGGAAAGAAAGATTTTTTTTTTTTAAAGATTTATTTATTTATACAAGCACTGGGTACAGTCAGAAGCGCTGGAGGGTGGGAGAATTCACCAGAGCCAGAGCTGGGAACAGGACAGGCAGACTGGCAAAATACACTGCTGAGGGCAACAGCGGGCGTGGCAGGAGAGGTCTGTATGCCATGTGGGACCCTCGTCCGGTGGCCAGGGATAGAACCGGTGCTGCAGAGGCTGCAGCAGCTTCGCAACCCAGCGCTCAACCGCTGCGCCACCAGGGAGGCCGGGGAAAGAAAGATTTAAGGCTAGTGTGAGTTCCCCAAATTTTCTTGAATTACGAGATAAAAATGAAAGATGTCAGAATTGATTCTGTGGTCCTTCATAGTATAATCTTATAGTAAGATACTCAAAGTTTTGAAAAGGATGAGTAAACAAGTTATAAATCAAAATTATGAATCTGAACTTACAATGTATATAAGCATATTAAAAATTGATAAGATTAGCAAATGATAAGATTAAAGTTAGTAAGAGACTGGAGAACTAGGAACTGTTATTACCTATAGTTGTTAGAGATATAGATTGATATAGCCTTATTGGATCTCAGTTTGGGAACATTTCTCAAAATTTTCTTTGATGCAAAAAAAATCCATATCTGCATCAGAATTTATCCTATCCATGAATCCACAGATAAATCTCATGCACAAGAATACAAAGATTGATGTACAAGGTTACACACTGCAGCACTGGTTACAATTATAAAAAATAGAAACATTTAGAACACTGGTTAAATAAGTTATCAATGTAATTAAGTAGTATGGTGGTTAAAATCATGGACTCTGGAACCACATCGCCTGGATTTAGATTAAGAAGTCAGTCGCTTAGCAGTCATGAACTCGGGCAAGTTTATTTAATCTGTTTGTGTTTCAGTCTCTTTTATCTATAAAATGGGCAGAAAAGTATCTACCTCATGGGGTTGTTGTGAGTTTATATCCCTAAAGCACTTAGAGTAATTAGTGGCACATGATCTTTTCCAGTTAATTGTGATTCATACAGTGGAATATTGGGCAAGGGATAGAATGCAGTAGATAGAATGCAGTAGATCTGTACACACTGACATGTCTCATACAGTCTTTTGTAATTATCAAGTATTATTTTTATAATTAAACCAATACTCTCAGAAGTATTTATTTTTGTAATTTTGTATTACATACATATTCATATTCAAAGACATATTGAAATGATAGAATTAGCATAAATGAGTTTGATCCCCGACCTGAGCTTGACCCCCTGCCGGGGAGCTACCCCCTTATATAATGCAACAGACCTCTCCTGTCTCACCCGCTGCTTCCCTCAGCAGAGTATTTCAGTGCATGTGCCTGTTCTGCTCCCCACTGTGTCTCTGGTGAATCCTCTCACTCCCTGCACCTCTGGCCTACACCCCACTTTTTCTATAAATAAAAAAATATTTAAAAAATAAATGAATTTTTAGGAAGAACTTTTCATATCCCTTTCAGTGCTTTTCTGTTATCAAATATTTGATTAATTATGACCGTATAAAAATTGCTTTCCATGCACTTTTTAAAAATTTATTTATGCATACAAGAACTGGGATACAGGCCAGAGGTGTGGGGAGGTTGAGAGGATTCACCAGAGACAGAGTGGGAAACAGAACAGGCAATTGACTGAAATACACTGCTGAGGGGAGCAGCGGGCGAGACAAGAGAGGTCTGCTGCACCATGTGGGTTAGCTCTCTGGCAGGGAGTTGAACTCATGCTGTAGTTGCTGCAGGACAGTGCTGTGACTTAACCCCATGTACCACCAGGGAAGTCTCCTCTTGCACTTTTTTTAACTACATATCTTACCAGAGACTATCCCTAAGAGGTGGTCCCTGTACACATTCCCTATCTTCATAATTTAGGATTGCTCCTAAAAACCTTTCAATTCAACAGTCATACCATTCAGCAGTAAAGATGACAATTTCTGCTGACCCTGAGCTGACTTTTCCTGATAGTGAGACTTCAGTAATGAAAATTTTTGCCTATCACTATTTCTTAGATGATTTTTTGGATATTGTTTGTACTTGCAAAAACTTCTTAATAAGGAAAAAAGACTATGCCACATACCTGAGCTTTTATATCTGCATGTATAATGTGAATATATGAAAATCTAGATGTAGCAATAGGAAGATACAAGATCCAGGAAAATATGCCAAAAGTTGAGCATTTTATAAATATTTGAATGGGACAGCCATATAGACATGTACTTTATTCATTATATTTTTTTAATGTTCCAAAGTTGGTAAACTCTACCCTTTTTTATATTATTGTATCTTATCACCATCATATAGTACTAAGTACACTTTTGGTAATAAAAATAAAATAATTTAAAAGTAGTCAAATTTTATCAAAAAGGAAAGATTAAATTATTTGGAATGTCAGTGGAAAAGTATTGCTCCAGGCAAAATGACACATACTGTTTTTTTCTAGGTTTCTTTGGTAGTTTATTTGGATTGATGGGTGTATACATTTATGATGGAGAATTGGTATCAAAGAATGGATTTTTTCAGGGATATAACCAACTGACCTGGATAGTTGTTATTCTTCAGGTAAAGCATTTAAAATCTTTTATTTAATGCTAATAAACAATTTTGATACGGTAAATCAAAGCAGTTACTAATGTACTAATGCAGGGGGGGTGCTCTTCTGTTAGTGTTCTCATTATACTTAGTTTATTTAAGGGTGTTAAAATAGAACTGTTTTTAATGCCACAATGAAAACTCCTTGAGAAGGGGTCATGCATGAACTTTGTGGTATTTAAATTTAATTTATAATAAAATGAATTTAAAGAGTAAAAGCTGAAGTTGAAGCTGAGGGAAAAATAGAACTTTTGAGTTTATACAATTGCTATTGTACAGGTACTCTATGGTCAGCCTGTTAAGACTCAAGAAGCAGATCTAGTTATTTAATCTGTTAAGTAGTTCATCGTCTCTTGTTGTACCTACATACTGAAATATTCCTGTCAAAATGCCTTTGTTTATAATTTGAAATTGTCCAAGTCTTGAGTAATTTCTTTTTTAAAAAGTACTTACTGAGTATTCTGGAGGACATAAAAATTAAGATACAAATCACTGACCTCACAAAGTCTTTCTCCGGAGGTATTTGAAGGTTTAAGGAACGAAGGTATCCTTGTGAAAGGTGGGTGAAAATGACAAGGGAATGGTTGTATTTTGAAAACATGATGGATATTTCTGTTTTTAAATGGGAGAAAAGGAGATAAGGATAAGTGAAAACTCAGGGGAAAATTGATGAAGAGATAGATAAATTATAGGGAAGTATGCTGTTTTTTTATATAACCAGAGGGAAGTCCTTTTCCCTTAAGAAGGAGCTAAAGACTGAGTAAAATAAAAATGGTTTGGCAAGTGGTATGAGACATTCAGCAGGGAATAAACAGATGAAAGAGACTATTAACAACTATTGGTACTCAAACATCAATTTGTAATGAGTTCAATTGATGTAATGCCTGGCTTTCTGTTGTTAAGGTAGCTGATAAATAAGGTTTGGCACAAAACACAAAACTATGAGGTATGGCAAAACCTTTAATTTGTCACAATATGGAATTTGAGAATGATTTGGTGGAAAATTACTTTTACACTTAAAGAACAATTAAAATTGTGCTTCAGGAAAAGTAATCTGGTAGCAATAAAAGGTGGATTAAAATGGGGAGAAACTAGAGGAAGAAAGAAAAGTTAGGAAGCTATTGACAGACTCGTAAAATACTTTTCAAATTATACTTTGACTCAGAAGTGAAAATACTAATCAGAGTGACCAATTTTAACACATCTGTCTAAACAAGTGATTTTACTAGATTGGATAAAGATGTTTTATTCATAATATGGTCAAATTCCATTATAATAATTGCAGATTGTACTAGTAGTTACTTTTGCAGTAAGAGAGCTACTGAGCAAAACTTATAGGTATATTGATTATAGGTGATGCTGAATAAAAATCACTATAACAGGGTTAAATTTATAGGAAAAAAGCCTAAAAGCTTTGTTGAGTAGTAAGATTGCTTTTAATATATATATGTCTGGTTTTTAAAATAATCTTTTAAAACTTCTACAGGCACTTGGAGGCCTTGTAATAGCTGCTGTTATTAAATATGCAGATAATATCTTAAAAGGATTTGCAACCTCTTTATCCATAATATTATCAACACTGATATCCTATTTTTGGCTACAAGATTTTGTGCCAACCAGGTAATTTCTTCTCTTCTATTTCTTTAAATTCAAAAGTAAAAATTCTTCATAAAATCTGATCTGAAATTTTTTGTTCTATTACAACTTCTGAAGACTCATGAAAATACAGTAAAAGATCCATATAACTTTTTTTTTTTTTTGGAGATTACAAACAACCACATGAAAGAATCTTCCACTTGAAAGTTTTTAAATATAAATTTGTCTGGACAGAATTTCCCCAGTGCATCTGAGGGGGTAAAAATGTCATATGGTGACATTTTTAAATGCAGAATTTATATAGCTAAAGCAGAAAAGTGTGTGACATTCTCGAAGAAGATAGTTTATATATTTAGAAGGTACCTTGTGAAAAAACCTTAGGAGGTAGTGGCAGGAAAATGAGTGGAAAGGAACTGAGAGAGGAATGACGGGTAAGGCAGGAGACGTGCCTGTAGGGTCATGGAGGCCACAGGAGGAGAGTTAAGAAGAATGAAATGTAAGGATTACTTGCGTAAATGACACTGAAGATCCAGTTATTTTTATAATTATTAATTTACAGCCCTAGAGTAATGAGATTTATTTTAATGGAGTCCAGGATACTATTCTGGTTTTCATCCAACTTCATTTCCCTCCTCATCTTCTCAAAATCTGAACTTTGCAGTCTCCCAAGGCTCTGTCCTTTATCTGCTGCTCTCACTACCTCGTGAATGCTAGTCTCTTGACTTTAAATACCATTATATGATAATCAATCTCAAATTTAAAATTGAATTCCAGGCTTGTGTATTAAATGCCTGTTTGACATTTTCACTCAAATGCCTGCCAGATAATTCATTCCCTCCATCCCTATCAAGGTTTCCCAGTTTAGTAAATAGCAGCACCTCCATTCCTCCAGTTGCTGAGACTGAAATCCTCCTTGACTTAGAAAGTTTAATCTTAGAGAAGGTGGAGTCTGTAAGTATAGATATAGTTAGATGTATGTAGGAAAAAGTTATAATAAAAAGAAGTTCTTTATTTTCTGAAGGAAGTAAAGTCATCCGGCTTCTCTTTATCCTTCTCTTACATATCATTGTAACCCAGAAACAAATCTTGTCAACTCTTCCTTTTTATTTTTATTTATTTATTTTAAAACAGGTGCCATCACATTTTTTTTTTTAATGGTTTCCTTTTTTTAAGATTTATTTATACAAGCACTGGGTACAGTCAGAAGCGCGGGAGGGTGAGAGAATTCACCAGAGCCAGAGCGGGGAACAGAACAGGCAGACTGACGAAGTACACTGCTGAGGGGAGCAGCGGGTGGCAGGAGAGGTCTGCGCGCCATGTGAGACCCTCGCCCGGTGGGCAGGGATCGAGCCGGCGCTGCAGAGACTGCAGGCAGCTTTGCAACCCAGCACTCAACCGCTGCGCCATCGGGGAGGCCCATCAACTCTTCCCTTTTTAAGATCGCCACAATTTGACCATTTCTTATAACCTGAACTGTGCCAACCTTGGTCAGGTCACCCAAATCCTGGGGATTAAGGAAATAATCCTAACTTGTCTCCTTGCTTCTTCTCATCTTGTGCCCCTCAGTTTTTCTCCACTCAGCAACCAGAATGATTCTTTTCATTCCAAATCAGTTCATATCACTATTCCATTCAAAGGCCTTCTAATTATTTCCTGTGTCACTCAGAAGTTTTCATTATCATGGCCTATTTGATTTGGTAGCTCTCTGCTACCTATATGTCCTCATCTGATACTACCTTCCTCTTGTGAATTTTTTTTTCTTTTTAGCTACAATGACATCTTTTTTATGTGCTTTGACTTACTCTTCTTGGAATACTCATCCCCTCATATTCACATGGCATAATCCCTCACTTCCTTATGTCTTGGCTCAAATGTCACTTTCTCTAGTGATCAGCCTAAATAAAAGAGCACCCCTTCCATTCCAAATTCTTTTTTTTTTTTTTTTAATTTTCTAGAGGCATGTCTTATTTATTTATTTATTATTTGTTTGTTTGGTTTATACATGCACTGGGTACAGTCAGAAGCGCGGGAGGGTGAGAGAATTCACCAGAGCCAGAGCAGGGAGCAGAGCAGGCAGAAGGACCGAAGTACACTGCTGAGGGGAGCAGCGGGCAGCAGGAGAGGTCTGCGCACCATGTGGGACCCTCCTCCGGTGGCCGGGGAGCAGCTGGGGATCGAACCGGCGCCGCAGAGGCCGGGGGCAGCTTCGCAACCCAGCGCTCAACCGCTGCGCCACCGGGGAGGCCCCCATTCCAAATTCTTTTTCCTTTTCATTAAGTAAGCAAAGAGGTACTCAGTATATTTGGTGAATGAAAATTTTTGTACAGCTAGTAAAATTCATTTTGTGTTACTGAGAGTGAGGTAGGATTATGGTTGGAATTTGGCTGTAGAAAAATACAATATTTTCTTTATATTTCTATAATGAATATTTGTGGTTTGATTTTTCTCTCTGTCAACCTGGATAATAGGTCTGGGACATGCATGCATGTTATTTTTCTGAAGCATGAATTTAGAAGTGTTTCTTTTTTTTTAACTTTGGGAATTAGTTATTTAGATAGCAAGATCAGTGAAACAATTACTGATTACATCTTAAATTGAGTATTAGAAGTAATAAGAGTATTCCTACTCCTGTTCCATACTGGGGAAGTTACG